CTAAAAGTTCTCGTCACATTAATAGAACCGAACGCCGCCACTAACTAAGGATAATAAATCTATCTTACTCACACGTTGGACTAGTGATGAATAGAAGCCCATGAAAAAGCCGCTGTTACAAATGAAATGCATTGTGAATCGAAATACGAGAAACCCTTAAGTTTGTAGCAAAATTTATATGTACATGATTGTATCGTATTGTATAGTTAAGCGACGACAAGCATGCTTACATTGTGAGGTAACCAGTGGTGCGCGGTGATTGGATTGTGTACACAACTTACAAGTTAGTTTGTAAGTTTACCCACACTAAGTTTGCTAGTAATCTAAAATCTCAGGAGATTTATGCATTCTTTGTATTTTTTATATTATACAACAACACAACGTACTGCAACAATATACAAAACATCTTAAAGACGTATATTCGTTTAATAATATATTGCGATATAAACCTCTAAAATGATACCCATGTGGGTGTAGCTGGCAAGGTAAGTGCAGAGAATTTTTGAATATAAGTACTATTAGGTATATTATCTAGACACTTTATATCTAGACACTTGCTATTACCATAACCTACGGCTTTTCCGCCGTGAACCCTCTAAGTTAAATAATGCATATGTTGTCCATTTTGTATTGTTGTGTTATGAATCTTGGTTGCTAGGATATGCAGGATACCTAAGTATCATACTATACAGCTACACTAATGACGACTAGATTATTAGCATCAAAGTTATCGACTTATGAATAGCTTAATGATTAAACAATAAATATCCACTTGAATATTGAATGCGAATTAAGTACACAAATAATGAAATTAAAATAATAATAGATAAGTTAATAACATGAAAACAACTAAGAATCGGACAAGTCTATCCTTTGGGACTTAAGTCGATCCATCTTTATTAATAATGCCGGGATCGAAGCCGACGACGCGGTATCCGCGCAAAAAATAAAGTCGACTTACTTGACAATGTAATTATTTCATTTTATTATTACGAATTATTTTAATCCTTGCAATGATTATATTAAAAAAATACCTTAATTTAATTTAGTATATCATAAAATAAACGAAACATTAACAGAATATAAATATTTGTAGGCACTTGTTTTATATTTATATAAAAATAGTTTATGGATTGTTTACTAATCAATTTACAAAATATTGGTAACATCAAAATTAACCCGTCAATTTATTTTAGAAGCTAGTTATAATAAACAAAACCGTTAAATAAAAATTGCTGTTAAAAGTCAATATTCGTAATATAAAACTACACAAAGAGCTTTAGGAATTTTTAATCAGGGAAGTTATTTTAATTAGCTTATTTTAATAAAGCTCAAGCTCAATTAAAAAGAATACGTAGATAGATTTTTTCTGTTTCTGTTTTATAATTCCCCACCGATATAAAGATTTCACTTTTAATTAATTATCAACTGACCTTTAATTTTATTTATTTGTTTTAGATTATTTTTTTTTAATTATTTTTAAAGTATGTTAGTAAAAAATGGACATAAGACAGCATAGACTAACTATGCAACATATAATTAACTATGCCATCCAGGTGTGATGAGTGTATAATTCAATCTAGTTTATGTGACAGGTAGGCCCTCTCCCGAGTACTACGCATCAGTAGTGCAGTTCATTTGCGCATTATTTTCATTTAGTTCATTTTTGCAAAGATCCTTAACACTACAGAACTCAAGAAGCCCCAAAAACTGCACTACCCGACTAGTAACCTGAGGTGTTCTGGTTAGCAATAAAAGCAGCCTCCGTCGACAATGTTGGAATTGTTAATTTTATAAATGCCTAATATCATAAATAATTAAAGTTTCTGAAAGGTAGTAAATTACGGAACCGAAGTAGTTTTAGATCTATGAAGACAATATTTAACAATCATCATCATCGTCATCTCAGCCTGGAAGCCGTCCTCTGTTGGACAAAGGCCTATTTAACAATATAAATATATATTTAATATGAATTATTTAATTTGCTAATTAACATACTGAGTAATCACTTAAAGGTTGTATGTGCCATATTTACATAACGATACATAGTTACTTAATTAAATCGCAAAATGTATACTAAATCAACGAGAATTAATAATAACCCGAGTGCGATACAGTGCGGGAAAGCTAATTAGAGAGGCGACAGAGTGAGTACAGATCAAACATTAATAGTGTGCCAATCGATTAGTAATATTAAGATGGCTACAAATTAAATACCGGATATAGTTATCTCTGACGACGGATGACTTTACAAATTGTAGTGTACCATCCGGGGAATACTCTAAGTATTTAAGTACACTAATAGTTTTATTCATAGAGTAGTCATCAGAAATTTAAATTGTCAGTATTTATTGTGCACGTTGAAAAAAAGTTTGAATGCTTAGGTATCAATATATTGTATTGATATATAGTTTTATTACCCTTTATTTTGTGAATATAACCAAAACATTTATGTTTATTATTAACGTGTCAATAATCAAAAATAATAATAAACGAGAATATTTTCGTTACATTTCAACTAAATTACTTGGACTTTGTACAAAAATTAACAACAAAATTAGTTACCTTAAATTGTCTTTCTGTTTTGAATATTCTTATCACATGAGACGTTAAAAGGGATTGCCAGAAAACTAAATCTATCAACTCCTATAGTAGTATAGTTCGTGTTACAAGAAAAACAAGTGACCGTTAAATCGTCGAAGCCGAACAGCCGCCATTTGTGTGCACTTCACCGAAATATCGCCTCTTTTTATAGAAATGTTAGTTTAGTGACGACGAGTAGATTTTTCACAAACTATGAAATAAGCCAATTAAATGGTATAAGAAAGAATGATGCGTGGGACTTGATATTGTAACTTATATTTATGTATCTATATATTTTTAATAGATGCTTATGGAATGATGTACCCGCCTGCGCTAACGATCACTGCTGGCGGGGCAATAAATAAGTGGAGGATGATAAGATTAACAGATCAGTTAGCCCATCATGACAAATTTACCCAAAATTTATCACGATGGTTCACCAGGGGGAACTGGGTTACCAGATTACTAACAATCCTTTATTCCCCCCAAAAACTTCTTCGTTCGTTCTTATAGAGTACAACTATATTAGTAGCCACCTATCAATTTACGTTTTTCCAGCTATTTTAATAAGATAAGTAAATTTTCATTATTTTTAAAAGAACAGAAATTTCTAAACGATACTTTACTCACCTATTCAAAAAATAATTTCAGTTTCATCTTCCAAGTTACAGGCGCCCTTCGAATTGCGTGTGGCGCGGAAAGCTGAAAATGCAAAAAAACCTTTCTCTCCTTGATTTATAATCACTTTTATTACAGCCATTACAGTAGTCGTGAGAATATTAAATATTTTTTTATCATGCTATGCTCAACCGCTATCTTATATATTAAAACCTATGTCACATGTATTTTATAACTTGAAGTTATAATTTTGACAAATACAAGACTTTCGAAAAAATGCAATAAATTAATGAAGTACATATCTAATACATACATACATACACATCACAATCTTATTAAGTACATAGTGGCTTAATAGTTTAGTTCGTGCGCTAAAATTCAACCAACTCTAAACAAGATAATTTATAGTAGGAATAACGAATGGAAACCAAATTAATCCGAGATATGTCAGTAATTTCGCCACCTACTACGTTGGATTCAAAATAGAGTTAACGGAACGTAGACATTAAATGCTTATGACTAATGAATCTGGAATTGCAGTCAACGTATGAGTTTATAAGGATTTTGGAGGAGCTTGGAGTTAATTACGTAAAATAGACTTAAAATGCAAATTCATTCCTACCTCAGAATGATCAATAAATAAAAGAGCCACTACTACAGTTGCAATCGTCATTCTTAAACCTTCACAATTACATCTTATGAAGTGAGAGTCACTTTAAATTATACATTATATATATTATATGTATAAATAAAACGAATAAACAAGTAAATATTAAAATCACAAAAATAAATAACACAAATATCTTAAATGTATTCAATGTTTTGCCATTGAGTTGTGCATCGATATAAACAACAACAACATCAATACAACATACAAAAATATTCGAAAAGTCCAAAAACACAACCATACAACACAAAGTACCCTTACATATGCATATATACATGTCAAAGACGCTTTTAATGCAAAAAGCAATGCGTGGGTATGGACTGTATCTTCGAATAAATTGGATTATCGGCTGCCAACGACTTGATAGGCCGGACATCGCTCTATTACGTAACTCTATTTCTCACTAGTGTTAAGTATCAGTAGATAGTTATATACTTATATATCTTTCTATATACATGTGGATATATTAAGTAATGTATTTGCATATAGATATGTTTTGTCTATTTAACAAAGATCTAATACTGTTAATGTGGAATAACATTAACGGGAATCTCAAAATTTGTTTCGTGTTTAACAATACAAATTTAGTAGGAGAATGTAAACCGTCAATGGTCTTTAATAATAATACCTTTGTAAATACTTGGTAACAAATTGGCCGTAATTTTAACTACGGCTCATATTTTATTTCCTTTGAATTTCATTGCGGAGTAGAGAAGAAAATAATTCAGGTTTAATTCTGTTAATCGTGGTCATTAAATGCCGGTATCACGGACTGGATGTCGCTACCTCTAACGACCTTTTACAAAGGCATTTACTTAACGAATGACCTGAGCAAGCGTTCCACCCCGTATTTTACCTTCCGCATCACCACTATCAAGCCGAAAATACACTCCACTACCTATTACACTAGACTACTATAGTTTTACATGTTGAATTGTGGTTCTTCGCTTGGGCTACATAGTACTTTAATTAGAAGGTGAGAACACTTTCATTCATATATGCATACCATAACAATTTAACAACAAACCAGAAATGATGTAACTCTAGTTAGTAATATATGCAGATTTAAATTCTCATAATATTTTAATATGGATATAATAGTTTAATTATATATATGCATAAATATATCTGCCATAAAAATCATATAAATCAACTAATTTATAATTTCTTCTAGTCACTATTAGTTGCTAGGTTATATATTATATATAGATATACATCTAGAAAAACTTTATACGCATATTTTATATTGAAACTGCCTATGACAATCTAGAATTCGTTCTTTATTTTTATTTTATGTTTCAGCTCTTGGTGTTTGGAACGACATAAATAAACAACAACGTTAATACGTTTAATAGTTATTTCAACGTAATTTTCACAAGTAGAATGCGAATATTTTCTCTTAATGGAAAACCTTTCTTTGTGTTAATTGGACAAGAAATACAGATATATAAAAGTAGGGGTCGTTTAACTAAATTCAAATTCAGTTCTATTTTATAGCAAACCTAGGGGTCCTTTGAGTAAATACAAAATCAGTTCTATTTTATAATAAACATACCTTACAGGAACCTACACTAAGTATACTATCTAAATATACCTACTGTAAAAGTGAAACAGTCAATTCTAATTCAATACCAATTCATATTATAACTTTTAATCAGATTTAAATCGCTATATTACGATGACATTCGTTTTATATCAAACACAGGTACGCTGTACTCATTTAATCTTTCTGGTTTAGTTTATAAATATATTCTCTAAGAAGGTTAGATCGATGACAAAATTAAGTACATGTAACTTCATGGTAACTCTTCCTGCTTACATTAATAATATTGGTATCTATTTAAGTGTGTTTAACGTATTATTACTTTTATTACAATACTACTGTTACTGTTTATAATAAGATTTGACTTTAGTGTACAAACCAAGCAATGTTTATTATGTATATTAAAGTAAACGAATAATAAGATAAACATAAATAGAAAACACTATACAAGGATGTCAGAATGACCCAATAACTCTAGACAAGCAGGGTGAGTTAAAGAATTAAGTAATACAAGAATGACATAGGCTGGTACTAAGTAGCAAAGCAGACTGAAGCCTAACGATATAAGTGATTATCCCTGATATTACTCGCTATCTCAGGTTCCCAACGATCGCCATTTGAGAGTAATTTTTCTTTATTATACAAAAGCTCTTCGTGCGTTTCTGTCGAGTATTCAAAGTTTGGCCCCTCAACAATCGCATCTACGGGGCATGCCTCCTGACAGAAACCGCAAAAAATACATTTGGTCATATCAATATCGTAGCGGGTCGCTCTACGAGAGCCATCCGCTCTCTCTTCAGCATCGATTGTGATCGCTTGTGAGGGACAGATAGCCTCACATAGTTTGCATGCTATACAACGTTCCTCTCCAGATGGGTATCTACGTAACGCATGCTCGCCCTTAAATCGGGGCGACAGTGGCCCCTTCTCAAATGGATAGTTAATAGTTGCAGGCTCTTTAAATACATGTGCCAACGTCACGGCAAATCCTGTAATTTAGAAAGAAGATATTAATTCGTGTATTCGTATATGTTATATTATTGCTTATTCATGATCGAATTTACTTTTCTGCCTATCAACACAATATGATACTACTGTTCTTATTATATTAGTAACTAGTTATACTCGCGACTTCGTCCGCGTGGATTTTAATGTCCCGTCAAAATCGGTCCAGCTATTTCAGAGATTAGCCGGAACAGACAGAAAGACAGACAAAAATTGTAAAAAATGTTTTTTTGGTATATGTTCCATGCCGTACCGTATTTATATTCATATGCATGCAGTAAAAAACGGTTTTTTCAATATTAGTCACTCCAATTTTTACATACTCCAGATTACATAATAAAAAAAGTATGTTATTAAATTATGTGATATATGTGTGAATAATGCGATGTCCTTCCTGAATAATGAAGAATGCGCTACAGGGTCAGTAGCGCTGCAGAAACTATTTACGTAATAAACATTAAATTAATTTCGACGCCCTCTGTGGTCTAGCGGTTTAGCGCACCGCCATACTTCCGGTGAAAATGAGTTCGATTTCTATATGTATATATACAAATTTATGTTTGTATTCATGAGTATGATTGTTTGTATTGGTCTGGCGTTTACTATGTTTATTGTGTATATTACATAAATGTATTTATATCCTTTCAAGCAGAGGTTGGATTGTAACTCGATGGCGCTGTGTGAATTGTCCTTGGTTATTATTATTACATGTCTATCAAATATATTTTTATACATATATACAGTTACAAATGAATGAAGACGGAAGATCAAAGTAGTTATGACAAAAATTTTAACAACGAAAAGAGTACAGAAAAACATATTGAAACTATCGTAAAATGATGTTGTACCTCGTACATGCTTAATAAATATAACAAGTGTTTAGACGGTTGTTGTTTTCTGGGACAGGGACGTGCTAAATATTATAGAAGAATATTCTTCTGTTTTAAAGGACAGATATCCACTTAAGAAGAAGTGAATGCTTTTACTTAAGAGACTATATTATTATGAGTTCGTGTGATATCACGAAACCTTATAAAGTCTATACTAACTACTATTTGTTATGATAGTATTATCTATTGCTTTTATCTACTATTATTGCTATTAGGTGCTAACAAGTTTTAATTATTATTATTTACATAGGTTAATAACAATACAACAACAATCTTGACAATCCTTCAAATAAATCAAATTCTCCGAGTATTTTATTTATATTGTTATTTACAATATAACAAAAGAAATAACAATAATTACAAAACTGTTGGTACTACAGCTTCGTAAACACATACATAATTTATGTCTAAGTAATTTAAGTATGTATTTTTAAATGTTAGTTATAGTTTGTATAGTATTGTAGATTGTATAGTATAGGTTGTATAGTAGTAAATGATATGTAGATAACATACCTCTTATTATTTCAGTCCAAAAGAAAATCTGTGATGCTCGGTCAATAAAATCTTTGAACCTGGTACTCGGTGGCTTATCATTCACATAAACAAATTTTACATCATACTTTGTTCGGGGACAGTAGTAGAACGGTGGATATTGTGAACTAGGCCACAAAGGACTAGGGGGGCAAGGTGGGCCAGGAGAATATGGCGGACACGGGGGGCTATCTGCTACATATGGATCACAACAATCCCCTTTACTGCCACGTACAAGACAAGTGATAATTTTACTTCGACTGCAAGTTAAACGTTCTATATTTGTACTTCTCAAAAACATTGTAATTTATTTATTCACAACATAAAGTGACATTTATATATTGGCAATCTGTCATACCTGTATCAAATTTAGTATTGTTATTAAAAAATAACTATAAAAAGGTTACTAAACATATTTTTAACAAGAATAAACTTGAACCTCGATTGATTTCGTCATGGTTGTCTCGTCTCCAAACAGCGTTTCAATTCAATTTCCTTTCTAGACATGAATATTTGATGTACAGTCATCTTCAAAAAGCTGACAGAAACGCTCAATAATAATAATTTACTATATCGATGGAAGTAAACTGGCAATTTCATCTCAACATTTAAAATTATGAACTTTATTTTAGTTTATGTAATCAAAATATACGACATAGTTCGTAATTACAAGTGTAATCAATTTATATAGAGAAGTGGAATATTAACGCAAAGCAATATAAAGCACAGCCTTTTACTATTCTCATAGCATGTATATATATAACACTGTTGTCGTCGTTGCTTACGATTTTTTTTTTATCCTGGACTGAATGATCTAGGTATTATAAAGAGGACTGTACCAGCAGAAAATAGTATTTCGTGATAAAATGGATCATGATCAAATTGATAGACTCCAAGGATCAAAGCTATCGTAACTTATTCTGAATACATATTTGAATCGTAGATATTATAATACCAATAGTTAAAATATCTGTTTCTTAATTGAATTACAATAGAATCCATTTTGTAGGTATGACCAGCTGAGTTTACACACCTCTAGAGATGATGGTACAGAAAAATATAGTTCTAATGACGGGTTTTATGAGTTTAACTCTATTATGTATAATGTAGGTTTTTAAACCCTAAGGGCGAAAACATATCGTCGAGTTACTTTACGATACCCTTATATAAAGATTTATGTCATCTTAAAATACTAGATATACCGATTATAAATCACCTTAGCATTTATGTCACACATATTTTAGTGACACTACGATAATCAGAAAAGATATAGTGACTCTTTAGGAGAAGAACTTATTAGTAATAAAGACTGGTTGTCCTATTGCTAATAATATGTATGCATGCTTATTAGGTCGACCTCCACGCGGTCCATTAAAGTATCTTAGAAGGTTAAATACAAGTATTATTTAACCTTCTAAGATACTTTAATCGTATTGTATTGTGGTATGAATATAGTGATTAGTAACTATATAATACATATACAGTAGAAGGACACAATGTAGTTAATTCACATAACTATTTTAATAAAGACTAATTAATAAATTATTTGAATTCTAATTTATAAGTAAGTAAGTAAGTACGCACTTTAATAAATGTTTTATAAGGTTCTTATCTCTTTGATGTCTACAAATATGTAAGTACATGAAGAGAAGTTCGGTCACGTGCACACTGTCGTCGTTAGCTGGTCGTTATGCTAATAGCCTCAGAGTAACGCGTCATATTACTCACCCTAACCACGTACGAATTGATTCAGAAATTAGCACTTTCTTGTAAGATCAGCTAATAAAATCTTGACATGTTACAACTGTGTTAGTAGCCAAGTAATTATTATTTAGGACATCCGTCTTTGACACATTAGGTAGAGTAGAAAAGGTAAGAAAAATATATACAAGAATACAAAGGTAAATACGAACATATTTCAAATATATACCTACATGATTCAAAAATATTACTAATTCGCTATCTATATATGTGTGATAGAAAAATTATGATTGGAGTACTTTATTCCCATATTTGAACCCAAAGTTTACGCGCGATATTCCTACATACTAATTCTGAACAACGATATGGGTAGACTTATCGGCCTATGCTAATGAATTATATTATGTATGTTGCAATTTGTTATTGCATAATCTTTCACTTCCCACTAATATTATAAATTCGAAAATGTATCTGTCTGTTTGTTTGTTACTGTTGCTGACGTAATTTTTTAGTTCATATATTATATTTTTCTAAAGAATTTTATTATATATTTTTGTATACAAAACATTTTAATATAGAATATAGATTGTGACAGACAACAATAGAAATACATACATACATACAATAAAAATTGGCAAAGTAGGTTGTATCTAGTGACGGTAGATACAACCTACATCGAGAGATGTAAATACCTTAATTGTCATTAATTATTCCCCCTTATTTGTCGATCGATCAGATCAGTTGTTTAACATTAATATCCTTAAAACAAGCTCTGCTTAACCTTGGACTATATGGTGCTATGTAAACTATTTTAAAATGTTTGAATTTTTATTATATTATGGGACATCAAATAAGTTTTTATTAAATTGCTTAGAATAGGATAGAATATTAATATGGATTGCTTAGAAATAGGATGTCATTAACGAAGCATTTGCTTCGTTTAATGACATCCTATTTATCACCAGCCACAAGTAGTAGTATTCCTTACAATATAGATTAGAGGATTTTTGTTAAGCACTCCAGTCTCTGAGTCAACTCTTAAAATCCAATAAATTATAGGGAAGATTTACATCACCGATCTTACAGGTGGTTTCAAGTCTTTAAAGGAAAATCAGTGATTGTCTTTATCTTAACTTCCTTTGCCAATAAAATTTACGATTACACCTACTTTTGAACGGTAACATTATGACCCTAAATGTTTTTGCTAAAAGCTTAGTTTCATACTAAACCTTTATCAAAAACGGGTTTATATTTAAACTTTATTGTGAGTTAAATACTTACCGAAATTTAACCCAAACTGCTTACGGGATCGACAGACGTGTGTAAACTGCTAGATCAGCGAGGCCGTCATTTACAATAAGTTCATTTCTATGTATCTTCCTATGAGAAAAATATGGCTAATGGCAACATTATTTATATAAACAACGTTAAGTGTAGGTATCTCTTATTTACAACAATTGCAAGTAACTCACATACCTACATGTACTTTCATGTTATACTGTAGTTAGTAGTATTCATGTAGTTACTTGACACTATAGTGTCCTTCAGTTAAGCGCATCAGCTTTAATTTCCAATAAAGGAACGCCGAAATGTTATACTGAAACTAAACGCGGCCAAGCCATGTTCTACAAGATAGTCGAGCTTAGTTGATTCTTACAATTTTCCCGACTCTTCCTCGAGAATTGTGTTCTGCGCCACCCAAAAGTACTTCAAGTAAACTTGTTTCGCTTTATGTGGCGTCCTCGATTCCACAAATAAGCGTTTGTATTCCCACTGTCTCTTATAAAATGAACAATTGCTATTCCTACGACAGTTTTATGCAATCATTCATCTCTAGATAAATAAGAAATTTTATTGGTAATCTGTACGGATTTTGAAGAATTTTGCAGTATATTATTAATATCTTCCATATTTTTTATAGCGTGCTGTAATCCCGGAGAAAGTAATTTTTGTTATACCTCTTGTACGCTTGAAGTTAATCTAAATTTAGCTGTAAATATTTAAACAGTAGCATATTACTTTATTAATATAACTCTGATTTTTTAAATTGTTACACACTTTCAATTAATACTATATAATATTGTAAATACTTAAGTGTGATTGTCTGTCTGTTTGTTTGTTACCTTTCCACATTTAACGACGAAACTGATTTAAAAAAATTAAAACATATATTGTTTCCTGAGGACAATAATCGGTTATCTTTTATAGTATAAAAAACAAATGAAGTCGCGGGGAACAGCTAGTTATCTATAAATTGTTCTATCATTGTAAATAAGCAAATCAGCACACTATGTAGTATAATTTGAATTACAAATAAATCTATTACTTGAACAGAAACCCGATCTGCATACATCATCTGATATATGTAGTATTTAAACAGATAGACAAAATATTGTATGTGTCTCACTAACATAGCGCACTACGATTTTTTTAGTCTCAGTAATTTAGTACTTAAGACAAAGAAACAGAACAAATAAACTGCTATTTACCAATTTCGTAAATAAATTAAAGGCAAGGATTACGTACTTCTGAATAAAACTCGTTTTAGTAACGCAGATAAGGTAAGCAGGCAATTACTTATTATTGTCTCAGAAGAATCCGGTTCCCAGGATAATAAGTGGAAATTCCACGCGTATTCGTCCTAGCTGAATGAAAGCCGACCCGCGTAAATGTTAATCCGAGTATATTTTTAAAAAGATCTTCATTTCCTACTTACATAAGTACTGCTTGCATTTTTATGTAACCTACATATCTATATAGAATCCATATAATGGAAAATGTATACTGCATTTGTTTTTATGAATTACGATAATTCAGTAGAATGAGAATAAGCTAATTTTAAAAACTGTTTTAAATCATGTGAACTGTATAACGTTTAGGTATATTTATTTATTTTTACTCTTTTTTTAATATCTAAATTGCCCTGTAGACTACTATTGCAGCTATTGAGGAAGATGATACGGGCGATGTTCGGTCCGGATCTTGTCTTAAATTTTTAGAGTCCTTTTGGGCACAATCTGTATGCCTATTAAGGATCTTCTTCCGGGCTTTCGTTTGTTTTCAGTTGTAAACGTCTGCACAGTCTCGAACTGTATTTAAATAAAATAAGAGAAAACAGTCACAAAATGACTCAAACTGAGTCAAGACAAAATTCAAGTTAACAATAAAAATTTAAACAAAATATGATTTGAAATATGGAATATTAACTAATAGAAATATAAAACATTTCTCTTGGTTAATATTAAATATTTATGTAATAAGTGCATAAACCTAAATTTGCAATACTGAATAGACATTCATAATTCATTAATCTCTAATGAGTTTTTATTACAACTTAAGTATAATATATGTTTGGAAATGGTAAACGCCCAATTATTATGCGATGTCCTAATATCTAACAACCTGGATATATTTTTTATTTAAAATTACGTAACCTTTGTAGGAACAAACGTGAACCATCTGAAATCAAAGGCAGCTAAAATAACTTACTTTTTTACATATTTTACTTTTTATTATCAAATAAATGGGTGTGGACAAGAGATTATGTAAGATTAAAAATCAAGATAGATATAAGATTGAAAATCACTAATGTAATGGTTACCTATATATTTTAAATAATAATAGGATATAATATAATTAAAATTA